AAATGTTGTTGTTGCTGTTGTTTGTCTGCAACTATCGGTAATCTTCGAGCCAATAAGGATGGCATAGTTCGCCGCTTGATATCCTTTTCCAAGAAATGCGGCTATGTCGTTTTGTGTCATGACACTTGTCTTGAGTATGTGTGCAATTTGTACGGAACCCCATGCTGCTTTTAGGCCAGGAAGTATGGCGAGAAGGGAGACTAGAGCGCCAAGTATTTCTATTGGCACTTCTGCCCTTCGCTCGGCCTCTTTCGTCACTGCTTTCATTTCACGGTATTGAAGGTAAACATCACTTCGCCAATTGTCTATTAAATCGTACACTCTCCGCAACTTTGGCATCAATGCTACTTTCTCTTCTTCTGAGATCTCGGACAGTTTGGGATATTTGTCTTTCAACTCATCTTGAATCTTGAGTATATCATCAATGTTCATGAGACTTCCACTTGGTCCAAATATTTTTCCATCCAAATTTTCCGTTGAGTTGTTTCCACCCATGTTCTGCTGCTTAAGAAAGCGAATTTACAAGGACAAGAAAAAAAATAGTTACCTCATAACCTGTGGTACTCGTTTTATTAGCCTAGTAATATTTGGAGGTCGTTACTTTCGTGCGTGCTCCATTTAAGGGGCCACACCCCCCTCAGAAATCGCAGTTTTTGCTAAAAAGTCACTACAGCGTTGGATAGCCTCAAGTGTCAGCTACAAGAATTTGCATTTGAAAGTTTCAAAAAGCCGTCGTGAAGCATTTTTAGACTAATTAATACCAACAAGCCCCAAAACGACACGTCTCAGTGTATCGAAGTACAAAAAGTGGTTCAAAATGCGGTGTTCGATAGCCAGCAGTATACATCAGAACTCACGCTATTTTTTGAGACCATCCATTCGCACTTTTCTACGACCTCCCTTTGATTTTTGGCAATACCATTTTGAAAACACATAGTGAAAACACTACGAGAGGTCCCTGAATCGATTCCAGGTGAAACCGCATTTTCGCTTTTTTTCTCACCAAAAACGTTTCAAATCCCTCAATTTTGATCTGATTTGGCTCGGAGTAGTCTCAGTCGAAAGAGGAGATACACAGAACTGTGTATGCGTGAAGCGCACATCCATTCCTATGATTTACTATAGAATTTACAAATGGTAGACATATAACGCACTTTTACTAAAAGTTCTATAAAAACTCGCAGAAATGAAAGTTTGTTTACGGGATGCACACAGCTCGACGAGCTCTATCTTTTGAGACCACTCCGGACCAGATCGGACCAAAATTGAGGGACTACATAGTCGCGAGTGCGAATTATTTAAAAATCAATGTTAAACTTTGATTGGTGAAAAATGAAATTTGCCTCTATAAAGCATGGGTGCTCCCTGAGCACAAAACAGAGTTTCAGCTCAATCGGATGTAAAACCAGGGACTTTTCTCTGAGGGGAGGGGGCTCTTAATAACTTGCATGGGTTCAAGCGAAGACGTGTGTTCTTGCAGGCGAAAGTAAAAAAGAGTGAATGAAATGAATCTTTCTTCTGTTCTCGCTTGCTGCACGAATCTTATCTTCGTTTATTTTAGCTTGCTTTTCTTCTCTCTTTCTTCGCGACAGATAACGGGACATTTGCCTGTGGAGAAAAGAGAAGAAATCCTCTCTCTCTCTTCTTTGCGCCTTTTTTACTTGTTTAATTGTCGTTCTTTCTAGATAAAGAGAAAAAGTAAATGTTGCACAATCAAATGAAAGTAGTTAGGAGGAAGTAGGTATGCTTACGCAATGAAAACTCGGTTTAAATGAATGAACCACCTCTTTCTGCATAAATGTATTTTAAGCAAAGAAATACGGGTATTAATAGTAAGAGAAGGTTCCGTGGGTCTACTAACGCGTCAACTTAGGCCCACGAGAAATTAAATTATCCTATATTGGTTTTTCATGTTAGTTATGCTTGCAATGGTAAGAGTCAAAACTACAATCATAGAAGAGCATAGAGAAAACCGACGTTATCCTATTATATCTCACGATGAAACATTTCTAGATTTATCTTTAATTTTCTGAAACCAATTTAGTTCTGGTTGCTCATTTAAGTCCTTTTAGCTCTCTTTGGTCCCTTTAGTTTCTTTTAATGCCCTTAGCTCCCTTTACCACTTTTAGTTTCCTTGAGTCCCTTTAGTTCCTGTAATGCTTGCAGCGTTTGAATTTATTTCAAAAGACGTCTCCATGATACCAAAACAATAATGCCAACGTCCATCGCCTTGTTTCTTGATTCTTGTGATATTTATACTCACATGCTTTACCAAAGAACACATATCTTTCCCATGTGAATCACAGACCATAACATAAAATCAAGAACCAATTTATTGAACGTCAACATTGTCGTTTGCGAACAAACAAACTCTTGATTGAAACAATATCCAAATACACTTTGCAACTTTTTTGGAGAACGATCAAAATTTTGTTATCTACTTTCATTTCATCTTTTAAATTATAAACGCTGTTATATTTAATCTTCAAGCAAACAACTGTTTTAAAAAATCGTCGAACAAATCGTCTCTTTTCTCTAGAAGCGTATTCAGTTTGTATAATTCAAACTATATCCCAAAACAATAGAGCTAAACCAACTAGAAAGACCGAATGGACCTAAAAGACCCAAATAGAGCTAAAGGTACTAAAGGGGTATACGGGTGAGGATGTGAAACGCTTTGCAGTAGAGTAAACAGGATAAGTTTGATTTTTTGTGGATTCTTCAAAAAGCGAAATCCATCTGATCGAACATAAGAAAACCAGTACTCACATGAAAACGAAATGACTGACCAATGAAAAATTAAAATTGCTCAAGAATAATATGAATGGTAAAAATCGATAATCGTATTTTATTTATTTTTATTTTTTATTACTTTGACATTAATTGGCTTAGTTGTTTTAATTGAAGTTCTGAAATTATAGTTTTAGGTATGATTTTGTACAAATTTTCTTAAGATTTTTTGTTCTTGAATTACAACTCAAATTAATAATGGTT